TATGACTTTGCTAAATGTCGGAGGAAGCTATGACTTTGCTAAATGCCTGTTTCCTCAGTGCCATGTGACTGTGATATGTGTCCTAACGGAACCACAACACTGGTACCAGAAGCAGTATCTCGACACATGTGTGTCCGTGAGTAATTGGTTTTGTCGGACAAGTGGAAATTTTTGCTACTTATGCTTCTATGTGCTCTTGTCTCATAGTTTGTTTTTTTCCTGGCCAGAAGGTAGAATAGTAGAAATGTTCTGTTACTCTTTACACAGGAATCCAGAAGGACATGTTACTTTTTGCTCTGCAGGGCTGGATGGAATGATTAGTGCTGGTTCAGACTCAACTGCCAGATACATGTACATCTATTTATACTTCTATATTCTCCCATCTACTAGTTAGGTTTTTATTGGCAGTATGGGAAAATAGTACAAATGTGTCATGACGTGATGGAATCAGACGCTCTCCAATTTTTGGGCATATCAAGTTATTGGTATCAACTTATCATTTGTTCATTTGTCTTGTTTTCCATGAAAAGAATTTCCTATCAGTCTTCAATAGAAGTCAAGATACTTTGGATTGAATGAGGTGGGATAATCTGGTTTCTGAGGTAAAATTTGGGAGAAAATGACCGCCAAAGTTTGGTGACTTACTTAGTTTGAGAGTCTTTGGAAACTGAAAATTTACATTTCTTATACCCTTAATCAATTTTTTTAATTAAAAGCCAAACTGTCGGAAAAATGCCGGTATTTTCAATTAAGTTATTTTGGCAAACACCTGAATACAATGCCTCAATATTGTGAATTTGCTCCTGATATAGAAAGCCAGAAGGACATTTTTTACTTTGCAGGATTGGATGGAATCATACATGCTATTAGGAAGAAGAGGCATGGATAAGTTCTCATTGTTTTCATGTCATGTGTCCTCAGGCAACTGTTCATCGGGCCAGGTGTTGAGTCTGGAAACTTTAGAGTGTCAAGACTGCCCAGATGGTTTCTACCCAGACTCTTATCCTCCTGTGTGCTATGTCAACTCCAGTAAGTTCCAAGGCAGTTAATGTTTTCTGAGACTAGGGGAATAGACAAAGTAGCCATGACAGTTATTTTGAACTTGTGTTCCTGTCTTTGGGATTGCATAGATAGCATTCCTCCCCATAGTGCAAGTGTAGAGCCGGTTTTATTTTTTTCTCTTACTTCAATAGTAGAGTACAATTGCTGATCATAATTGAACATTTTGCCTGATATAGGAAAGTGGTTTTCTTTGTTTCTGAAATCTGATTTTGACAAAGCATTAATGTGTATGTGTGGATGATGATGATGAAAACTTTAGATGAACTGACTTGATGGCTGAATGCTTTCCTCGCTCTGACAGCGCTACCTGTTGAGAATCGCAGGATGGACATCCACATGACAGTAACAGTTGTGACCAACAGATGTGATGAAGAGAACACAAACTTCAGCAAAGCCAATGTCACTCTTGGGCTCAAGGACGTGGCCAGGGGAGTGATCTCTGCAAGATTTTACAAGGCATACGATTTGTCAAGAACTATATACTTGTGAGTTTGCAGGGTTTTTTTTCATGCAAAGATATTCTTTTTGTTTTGTTTTATTTTGACAAATTTAATGTGGTGTGTTAAAAGTAGGTGTGCACAACATCGTACAGCTTCATGTATTGTTTTTGTCCCCCCCCTCCCCCTCCTCCCCAAAGTTATTTGTACAATATGATTCCCCACAGTGGTCTGTGTGAGCCAGAGTGTGTGAACATTCTCTCTGGCCCTCTGAATGAGAAGGAAGTGTGTGTCCCAGACTGTGGAGGGACTACCCCCTGTGACCGTTTCCTGAGCAAAGTCAGTGTACAAGTCTACAATGCCTGGTGAGAAGTGAACCTTTGGTCTTGCAGCTCTCAAGTGACTTGTAGAAAAAGACCTTTTCTTGTTGCTATAAGGTGGTTTTGCGTCCACTGACATTTTCTTGTTTTTTTTATTGAGATGGCTGCTGTGAAAAAAGACTTTCTCTGTTACTATGAGACAGTAATGTGAAAATAAAAGTTTGTCTTTTTCCATGATATGAATTTATTGTAATAATATGTTTTCCTGTTACCTTGAAACGGTTTTGCTGTGTACCAATATTTTTGTCCTTGTTGCTATGAAGTGGTGTTGCAGTGGACAGACATAATTATATGTATCAGTATGCAGAGCGTAAATTGTGTGTTTTTGTTCCTGCAGGGAGCTGGCACAGCCATTGATGACATCAGGACATAACCGTAGCAGTGTTGATGTCCTTCTGGAACACTTTTATGACCTGACTCCACTTTACAAAATGTCCTACTCTGAGCCAGAATATGTAAGTAAAATAGCTGTGATGTGCATCTGGCTTTTTTGTTATTATAATATGTATAAACTATAGGGTATGACATAAAGTTTTGGAAGAATGGTTCTTTTAAGACACAGTTTGATGTTTATCGAATTTTATATTTTTGGCTCCATTTAAAAACATATTCCTGCAGGCATTTTACTGAAACAAATTGATGAAAGGAACAAAATATGTAAATTTTCAGTTTCCAGGGACACTCGAGCTTGGAAATCACCAAAGTTAAACAGCCATTTTCTCGCTAATTTTACCTCGGACAACAGACGGGGTCTCTCGTGGCCTAGAGGTTAAGGTGTTGGCCTCTCATTCAATAGGTCCCGAGTTCGAATCCTGATTTTCTTCTCTAAAATTTTCCCCTTTCACATCCTTTCCTGCTTTCTAACAATGTTCTGTCATCTGCTTTCGTTTTCATTTTCTGACCTCACCCCCTCACCTCCTCTGCGCCCTCCTCTGAGGTCCTGACTCTTTCTGCAGCCTTTCTACTGCTTCTCCTTGGCTCCTTCTTACTGCTGTCTTTCAGCCACACGCCTGATCTTATGGCAGGTAAGATCTACACCTAGCCTTCTCAGGCAAGGGCAAAAAGTCTCGGAGGTCCGGTGTGCAAGTTGCGCACTTTAAAGATCCCAATTGGTGGTCCAAGATCGACAAGAGTACGCTCCGGCCGCAACCCGAGCACAATTCAAAATTCCCTACCTATTGAAAATGTTTGGTGTGTCCCGTACGCTCACATGACCTTATGCAGTTGCGAGCGTCGTAAATCACTTGCCCAAAAAAAAGAAAAAAAAAAAAAAAAGAGAACAGGCGAACCCCCACTTCCTTTAAGTGCAAATATCTCGACTTTTATTCAAGATAGATGGGTACTTAAAAAAAAATCAAACTCAAGGCAAATAGACGGGCTTTAACTCTTCATGTCCGGTGAGCTAGTGGGAGCGGCTCGGCGCGAAGTGGGTTTGGCCGGCGAGCCGCTGACAACGGCTCACTACACTAGCCTTCATTAAGTACACGCGAAAGTAATATTTCACGACATCAACCGAAATTATGGTCGCAAATGCCGAAAATAGGTCTTTTTCTGTCTGTACTTTCATTTTGTAGCGTTTGTGCAGGCGCGTAAGCTAGATTTGATGGCTTGTTTCCAAACAACTGATTTTCTGTGTCTAATTTGTTTGTGTTGGTTAGGGAGATTATCGTGGCTGGAGATTGCTCCTGAAATAAATATAGTGACAGTTTTCTTGTTTGGATTATACTGAGACAAAAGTTTCATTCCATTTGGATATTCTAAATCTAGATCTAGATGTTGGATCTTGTTGAGGCTGTATTCAGGTTAGTTCATCGTAATATAGTAGGCCTATATCTATGTGAATGTGACTTATATGTGGTTATTGTAGACCTCATCTTACACCTGGAAACTTCAAAGAATTACTCAAAATTACTTTTGAAAATGTGCATAAAGACACAGTTGTCATAGTTAGGTATATTCGAACAAAACTATAAATGTAAGCCTTTGATTTATTGTATAACAAAGTGTGTATATATAGAAATCTTGATCTAGATCTAGCTGTGTTTACACTTTTCATGCCGAATGTGGGTTGTGATACATTTTTTAATTTTGGTGTATTTCAAAAGAATGGGCTTCAAAGTAGCTACAGCCACCATAGATGTAATCCTAGAATGTATATCAACATTTTTGCTTCTTTACTTTGGCTCTGTGTTCAAGTTTTATAAAGAAACACTCATTTTTGTGTGAACGGTGTTATGTAATATTCCAAAATTTTTTTTTGCTAAAGGCCATTTACTTCAATAGTCTATTTTTATTCTTCAATAAAGGCATCTAAAATGAACACCAATAAATACAACTTTCATTTCTGAACACAAACATACCAAAAGTTCTGATGTGGGCCTAGCAGATTGAAAGTTATATAGACTTTTGTAACCCACCCTACTGCTGTATAGGATCAGTCCCTGGGAGGCTTCGGTCAGAACGAAAATCCTCTACAGATGTGAAGAGTTAAGATAATACCAATAACTCCATCTGCTCAAAAACTGATGAGCGCCTGATTCCTCCACTTGTGTCAGGATGCGATGGAATCAGGCGCTCGTCAGTTTATGGGCATGTGGAGTTACTGGTATCACATTAAAGCTCGTTCGTTTGTCTTGCTTTCAATGAAAAAATGCCTATCTGTATTGAATAGAAGTCAAGATTTTTGCCATTGAAGGAGGTTGGGGTGGCCTGGTTTCATAGGCATAGTTGGCGAGAAAATGGTCGCCAGAGTTTGTTGACTTCCATAGCTTGAGAGTACTTTTTGTGCCTTTCATCAACGTTTTTCAGTAATGTCCACCCTCAAATAGACATAAAGGGTGTTGAGCGGAAAAAAAAAAAAAATCAGTAAAAATTGCCTAATTATGGTAAAAAAGCCGGTTTTGTGGATTTCCATATTTTTGACGAGCACCTGATTCCAACATAATGCCTCACATACGTGAGTTTCCGGTGGAAAGAAGAGGGAAGATGGATGATATTAAATGAAGAATCTGTTGTTTCCACATTGTAGTGTATGGATGTGTATCATATGATGTGCAGGTGCCGTTTACCTTTTAAAATGTTCATGGATGAAATGTTGTTTTTTTTCTTCTCCCACTCACAGGACGGATTTGACGTGCATTTTGAATTTCCCATCAAACCTGAGGTGACATTCGTTGGTAAGTTTCAGATGACTGTTGATGTTGGAATAGATGGCAGAAGAAAGTAATGTTAAGGTATTCCTCTTGAAGTTGATGAAGTGTTTGGCATATTGACTTTTCTGCTATAGTGGTCATCAGTATGATGCGATTGACAAAACCATTATGAATAGCGGGAAAGTGTGCATTGCTTTGTCTTCCAGACTGAATTCCTTTTGCTGTAGTCTGGAGTATTGGTGATCTTGAATTGGTCATTTAGAAAATATTGATGTTGTTCAGATTACATGTTTGTGAATGTTCTTGCAGTGAGGATTAACGTCACCTACTGTATGCAACCTTTCCAGGGATATGCATTTGAGCTCATTAGCTGGAGGAAATTTGAAGAGGACATGAGAATAATTTTGTGGAAAATATTTCCTCTAAGCTGGTTGTCCTGTAAACAGGACCCTGTTATAGGGTCTTGGATTTAACCAACAGTGTGTCTTATTAGGGGTTGAGACTTTCGATTCTAAAAAGTTACTGTATCTCATAGTTGAATTGAGTGTTCATTTAAAAAGAAATTAGTCTTGAATGTAGAGGTATAGAAGTGCCTAATGATGTATCCCTGACTTCTGGTGACAGACTACGAGGCGCGGCTGGTGTTCTTCAGTGTGGTCCTGGACAAACCTTTCAGTGATATCCGGTATCAGTGGAGTGACACAGCCATCAAACTTGGAGAAAGAATGGGCGAGCTGGTAGGTGAAACTTTGGATTGATTAAAGAATGTGTTAACCTGTGATAGAGCAGATACAATGAGTGATCCGAGAATGACTTAGGGATCTCGAGGTGCTAGATGAAGCTTTCATTTGGAAACAAAAAGTCCCAAGTAAAAGTTTTTGTTTTGAGAAAACATATTAGGGCAGTGGGGTTTTAGAAATATTCGGGAGGACTGGTGGGTGTGGAATAAAGATGTATAGTCTTAGGGGGTAAATGTTATTCTTGGCAATGTGATTTAAATCCCAGATAATGTCATCACTCGCCTAGTTAAAAAATATTTGTTCTTTGTTACAGGCTGCAGATCAATTTGGAGATTTGGGCTATCTTTATGGAAAACTAGATCAGATCAGGTAAGTTTTGGTACCCTTGTGGAGAATGTTTCCGGGGTGTACAATGCATTTGATTTTGGTTGAACAGGCAACACTGTAGCACTGCTTTTGAATCATAAGAAAGGTTATAAGGCTGTGTCCTTTGGGCTCAAAGGTTCGTCCACTTAGAATTGAGTACAGACCATACCCTATTTTAGTTTCCTTGACATGGCATTTGGCTAAGATCTTACTTCTAACACAAGTGGTTAGCCGTGGGGTGTTATGTGGAGACCAGTGTGCTTTCAATTTGACTTTCCCTTTGTTTCTGCGAGTCATGTGTCATTACATAAATATTGTAGTTTAAAATTCAGTGTTCATATTTTCAGCTTTTTACTTTGTGACTTTTTGCAGCGATCATTACGATGAAAACACTGGGGAGACTTACATCATGGTGAATTCTATGGGCGTATTTAAGAATTCCTTTAACAAGACTATGCTTGAAGCCGTGGCAGCAAGAATGCTAAGAGCTCATATCTCCTGGGATGGCCAATTTGGAGAATTCCTGTTCAGAGGCAGACTTGGCCTTTTCCGGACAGCAGAGGATCGACAGAGAGGAGTGCAAGGTGAGTGTTGTGGCAGTCCCCTTCTCATGTGAATACTGCCAGACTGTTGTTGTAGACACTAGTGGAATACTTATTTGTTTCCATGGTAATACTTCCTGGAATGCCAGTGAATGGGCCTGTTTAGAATATGGCTTAACTCCACATGTATGGCATCATGGTGAAATCCTGCACTCGTCAAAATAGTGAAATGGAAGAAACTGACATTTTTTCTTACATTTTTTTCCTAGTGTTATTTTTTGTCTCAACACCTTTTTTGTCCATATATAAACAGATTTCTGTGTTGATATTCCAGAAAAGTATTGATTACAGACACAAAAAATGTAAATTTGCAGTTTCCAAGGACACTCAAGCGTTGAAAGTCCCCAATATCAGCAGCCATTTTCTCGTTAATTTGTCCTCTGACACCAGGTGAAGCCACCTCTGTCAATGGCATAAATCTTTATTTCTATTTGAGATACTTGGGTATTTTTTCCATTAAAAGCAAGACAAATGAACAAGCTTGAAAATGATATCAACAACTCCATAATACGCTCAAATTTGAGGAGCACTTGATTCCACCGCGTCATGACAGATATGCTTGATTTCTTCCATCTCGAGCATGCATTCTCTCTAGGTGTAATTATGAAAACATTTTTGTGTGTTGGGTAGAACTGTGGATGTTTTTAATGTTGTTGAAGTGCCAATGCTTGTAACAAATTTTTATTTCTCAGCGGTCAGTTGGTGTGATGTCGTGGAGAGTGTGGGTGTGCCACGTCATTGTGGGAAAGAGTTCACCTGTACAGAGAAAACCGTGTTCAGGAATTGTAGCGGAGGTTTGTGCTTTTTCCGTTGTAAATGGTGGTGAAAGACTGACAGCAATAAGTGTCATTTAGAAAAGTGTCCCTTCAGCTTACCTGCACCATGCTTTGTTTTCATTGGGGATCAAAGCAAGGATACCTGATATGGGCAGTGCAATGAAAGTAGACTAATTACCCTGAGTATGTAAGGGTGGAAAGGAGATACAGCTGATTATTTAATTTAAAGCAATGTTTCTTAAATCTCAGGTTTTAGAATAAGTTGCCAGGCCATTTTGTCCTATGTATGAGTGGTTGTAAATGTTTGACAGTGCCATTCACATAGGTTAGATGATATACTGTGGTTGTATCCTTCGAGTGAGAGAGTGAAAATGTTCAAATATTGACTCCATGTGCTCGTTTTTTTTGTTGCATTAATCATGATTGTGCTTGAGATGTCCGAGAACTTTCATCTACTTTAATGATGTATGTTTTGTTTTTTCTCTTTCTCATCAGCTTGGAAAACCTCATGTGAGTATTGGGAGCTGACGTTGCAAACTTGTTTGTCTTTAGCTGTGTTGTGTCTGTGCTACAACTGAAAGACAAAAAAAAGCAGGATATGTTCATTTGATGATATGTTGTATATTCAGTTACAATATTTCTCAAGGTGTTCAAAATCATTTGTGATACACAAAATCTAATCTCTATTTTGTTAATGTTATACTGCTATGGATGACAAAGAAAAATTATAAAAAATTGACGTTTCTGATATCATAATTTATTGCTGCTTGTGGATTTCTCGACATGACCGGTATTTTCCACCTTTGTTTCACAGTGTTCCTGAGGTTTGAGATAGACAAAGACTTTGATGCCAGTGACAGCTGGGCTGTGGAGGTGGCTGTGAGAGCCAACATTTCGGAGAATCTTGAATCATTAAACTCGGAGTACAATGTTGCGGTCACCCATGTTCTGTAAGTTTGTGAAGATATACTAATCCAAAAGTCTTAGGGAATGAGACGGAGAGACCTGGATTGTATCTCACTTTTGTGTGTTTAATCCCTTCAATGTCGCAGGTAAATAGGCCCCTGTGCTTGGGGAAATCCCATTAATCAAGGTGGATCTGGGTGACCCCACTCTACCTCCCATAACTTTTTTATTATGAATATTACCTCATGAATTTTTGCATGTACATTTTACATTGCACCACATTTCTATTGATATTATTTCAAGGGGATTTCATTGAGAGATGGATGGAGAAAATTTGGAGTTAGTAACACAATTCCAAAAACTACACCACCAAACAACATACAGCAACACTCATTCGAGTAATGATAAACTGAGATCCAAAAAAGGGGAATACATGTTGTGTGAGTGTCAGCAGGTACAGAGGAAGTGACAAGAGGCTTTTCCTACCTTATAAAACACTTGTACAGTCCATATAGGCCTATGCATGTAAGCCCATTTGTGTTTACTGCCAACAAATCTTTTTATGCGGCAGATGTGTTCGATCTAGGCCTAGATTTAATCTTCTCTTTGAGCTAAAATCTGAATCTTTCACTTTCAAATGGGGGGAAAATGATGGAAAACATAAAGGGAAGGTACCTCAATAATAATTACAAGATTTTAGGAGTAACTTGCCTTATAATTGGTATCAAAACAACCTCTGTCATAGTCCTTTAAATTCAACGGTCCATAGGCACAGCGCTACTCGGTTCAAGCCCTTAAATTCTACGGGCATGACAGCGATAAGAGGTTAATGGGAGCATGGTAAAAATTAAGAAACCTGAATTACAGAGGGCAGTATGGAAAGACAGAGAGCAAGAAAAAGTGCAAGAAGAATTTTGGAACAGGAGATGAGGGACTGGTTGAGAAGAGGGAGTAGATTGGAACACATAATATTCACAGCATATTCAGAACTTAAGAGACTCTCTGAGATTCTAGCCAGGAGTTTGTTTTGTTGTTTAACTTTACTAAATGACCTATTTTGTTCCTTTCTTGTAACAATGAAGTAAGAAAGGTAAGAAAAAAGTGGGCCAGGTAGTATCAAGGTGCTGCGTGCAGGTGTGAAGGTTTGCTGGGTGTATATTTTGCTGTTTGACATTTTGTGAAAATTAATCAGAGTTGTTGGGAAAAAAGTAGCCTGCTTGTGTTTTGCTGTTTATATTTTCCAAATATTGAACCAGAAAATTGTTGTGCATGACACACATTATGTTTGTGATTGGCCTCCTACAGACCAGGGAGCACTGTGGTCATCATTCGGGTGGATGCAGATGTTGACTGGGTGCAGTATCTGCTAGAGAGATACATCTACAAGTCGTTTCTGGAGCAGCCAGGTTCTATCTCAGTGGATGACACAGTGTACTCGGTTATGTCTGTGAAGATGTATGAAGATGAAAACGATGCTGTGATGGACCAGGGAGCATTGAGTAAGTACATAGTTTACTGATGAGGCTGGAAAGAAATGAGCTTGTTGTGAGCATAGTTTGGAGGAGGGAGGTGGTCCTCTTATGGTCTAGAGGTGTGGAATTCACCTCTCGGTCAATAAAAAACAAAGCAGGTACTATTCCTGTCAAAGACAAACAAGTTTTCATCTCTAAAATGTTCCCCTTTGCTTTCCTCTCGTATTCTCTAGTCCTGTTACTTCATCTGCTCCATCAGCACTTTCTCTCCCCACCCCCCTCCCCCAAACTGGCTCATGCCTCCTCTTTGCTTTTCTTCCCATTACTCCTGACTCTTTCTACAGTTAACCATGGCTCCTTACTGCTGTGTTTCAGCCACACCTCTGATCTTAGGGCATGTAAGAAGATCTAATGCCTTGCCTTTCTGGATAAGGACAAAAAACTCTGGAGGTCTTGTGTTCAAGTTAAGCACATTAAAGATCCCTTATAGATTGATAAGAGTAGGAGGCTACACCCGCCATGCAGGCAACATTCACAATGAACTCTGACCAAAACTGAAGAACCTCTAGTCGGAATAAGATAAATATTGAGAATCTTAGGAATGGGAATGTGGCTGCCTGACTTTATGAAGTAGGAACAAGGGAGCATATTCTCAAAATCAGTTACATTGCAGGTTGAAGAATCAACAGTCAGCCACCCTTGAGATCTAGCAGGTGAACACAAAAAAGAAAGAAGAAGAGCTTAGTTTCGTTTCAATCCAGACTACATTGAAGCCAAATATTGTAGAATTGACCGAGATGAAACTCTTGGGTAGATTGAGAGTGAGATTTTGTCCTACTGTGTATCCTCAGCCGACAGAGTAAGTAGTTTGACTTGTAGTGCCTTTTTCTGTGCTAGGCAGTCAGTTGTGCTTTCTATTAGACAACAGTGACTATTTTCACAGGTAAAAGACAGACTTCATATTGTCGTTTTATAAATTACATTGATAAATTTGTGACTTGCCTTTGTTGATATTTGTGTGAGTAACAAATGAAAAAGTTGGCTATGTATGAAGCAGAGAGTGACTGTCAATGCCCTTTCCATTCCAGAACTGCTCAGTGTTTGCTACATGGGTAACATATGTCCAGAAGGTTCCAGGTGTGTGGCTACTGACTCTCATCCAAAATGTGAAGGTAAGAGCAGAGCAGTGGCGGTGGGTAGTGAAGGGCTCATGGGCTTGAGCCCCCCCCCCCCCCCATCCCCCAACTCTATCCCAAAGCAAATGTAAATAATGAAATAAGCAATTGAAACTGTTATGATTGCACGCAATGAACACAGAGCGATCAACTTGGTGGCTTGCTCGTTTATCCAATCACTGTTGCCGCCGCTTACAACTATAGTAACCTTACAGTCAATCAAATGTCTTTAGGGCTCAGCAAAGGATGAGCCTGTTCCCACGGACCCTCATTAATGATATTTTTCTTGTAAAAAGGTTGAAGACTTTGAAAAAAAAATATCACTGCAAAGAGGGCTCATGCTGTCCTAGCCCTGACAATGGGGTGAAATTTTACGACACACTTTTCCCCAGTAACACAGTTACCTACGCTCCCATTGGACCTTTGTTAGGTGCAGTCTACTTTCCTCTACTACAAGGCCTAATCCAGTTCGTGGAGTGATGTGTATGCATGTTTGTGTGTTTGCCGCTGAGATTTAACTGTTATTAATTACATCAAGCCACTTTTGAGGCAACTTTTTCATCAGATGAAAATTAATTAGAGAAGTTTGGTGGGGAAATAGTTTCGTCCCCAGCATCAGGAAGAATTTAACGTAGAACAAAGAGAAGGAAGACAGAGGTGATTCTTCTCATTTGAATGGTTCTCAAAATGCCATGGCTCACCGTGAGTATTGAAAAATCACTGTTGTTTTGTTCTTATTGCTTTTTGTTTGGTGGTAAAGAAGTGAAAGCAGCCTAAGCCCCACCTAAATTTTGGTCCACCCACTGCCACTGGAGCAGAGGAATAGAAAAAAGTAAACCTGATGCCTTTTTTATCCATTGATCCGTTTATCCCTGGATCCATGTCAGCTTGTATCTACAAGGTGCTGCTGTCTGAACATGCAATCAGTATGTCTTTGTGATCATTTTATGTCCCCTTACTCAAATCATGTCATTTCCCCTCCATTTGCTAATTTTCAGATCTTGTCTTCTCTATCCTTTAAAATCCTTCCCATTGTAACAAATGGGATGTGTGGTGAAGAAATGATTGAAGAGAAAGGGCTTACTTCTCCCTCGATTTGTCAGATGAAAGAAAGTCACTTTGTGCCCCACTATTTACAAAACATAGGTTTTTGCAAGCTGCTGCCCCCCCCCCCCTCCTTTTTTTTCTCCAAAATAATTCCTAAAAAGCTAAACGGCAGCAAAAAGATGACAATACTAGGAGGACGGTGTGTGGGCAACCACAAAAACAAACATGAAAAGTGAAATGTGTGTAGATGTGCAATAATTGTTGATGAAATCCATGACTTTGCTAAATGCCTGTTTCGTCAGTGCCATGTGACTATGGAGAGTTCCGTGAGAGGGATGCAGGCTGTGAGATGTGTCCTAACGGAACCACGACACTGGTCCAAGAAGCAATATCCCGACACATGTGTGTCCGTGAGTAGGCCTACTTATCCGTGTACACTTGTGGTTTTGTTGTTGAAGTGGAAAGTTCTACTGGATTCAGAATCAGCTGCCAGATACATGTAAATCTGTTTATGTTTCTATGTGCTCCCGTCTCTCAGTTTGGTTTTTGCCTGGCAGTATGAGAAAATAGTACTAATGTAAAGTTGCTCCTGACATAGAAAGCCAGATCAACATGCTATTTTTGCAGGACTGGATGGAATAATACGTGCTGTTAGGAAGAAGAGGCATGGATAAATTCAGATTGTTTTCATGTCATATGTCCTCAGGCAACTGTTCATTGGGCCAGGTGTTGAGTCTGGAAACTTTAGAGTGTCAAGACTGCCCAGATGGTTTCTACCCAGACTCTGATCCTCCTGTGTGCTATGTCAACTCCAGTAAGTTCCAAGGCAGTCAATGTTTCCTGAGACTGAGAAATAGACAAAGTAGCCATGACAGTTGTGTAGAACCTGTGTTCCTGTCTTTGGGATTGCATGGATAGCATTCCTCCCCATAGTGCAAGTGTAGAGCTGGCTTTATTTATTCCTTTTACTTTAATAGTACAATACAATTCCTTATCAACATTAAACCCTTTGCCTGATAAAGGAAAGTGGTTTTCTTTGTTTCTGAAATATGCTTTTGACAAAGTATTAGTTTGGATGGGTGGATGATGATGATGAAACCTTTGGATGAACTGACTTGATGGCTGAATGCTTTTCTTGCTCTGACAGCGCTACCTGTTGAAAATCGCAGGATGGACATCCACATGACAGTAACACTTGTGATCAACAGATGTGATGAAGAAAACACTTACTTCAGCAAAGCCAATATCACTCATGGGCTCAAGGACATTGCCAGAGGAATGATCGCTGCAAGATTTTACAAGTACCAGGATTTGTCAAGAACTATATACCTGTGAGTTTGCAGGGGGTTTTTTATGCGAAGATATTCTTTTTGTCTTTTTTTATTTTGGCAAGTTGAACGGGAGGAGCGACCTTCTTGGTCCATTTCCTATGCTTGTTGCCTGAGATCAAATCTAAGTAGGCCTACAAACATAAATTAGGCATACAAAAATCTCTCTTGATACGTGCTTTTAATTTTGCATAGCTACAGCAGTTACTAGATAAATGACCGCCATCTTGAAAATAACCAATGAATTTCAATTCCCTAAGGCTTTCTTATTTATGACCAAATTTGACCAAATTTGGGGAGTGTATACCTGAACCAGTCCCTATCAACGTAACAGCAAGTTCTTTTCAATAAATGTAAAAAAAAAAAGTTGAGAATTTCAAATTTATATAAACCTTTTCTAAGTTTAGGTTGTGTAATCGTTTGCCAATAATGGAAAAGCGTTATTTTTTACATAAGTATCTCTCTGTTACATATATGGCAGTATGCAACATTTCAAAAAGTTATTAAAAAGCCAAATATGCTCTGATGGTCACAATTTTTGGAGACACAAGTGAGTAGTTGTAAGTCCACACACCCATGCACGATTTTTGCTTTTTCCATGAGTACTTTTCATCACAATACACTAAACTATGCTTTAGTAAAATGTGTTCATTAGTTGCTATATTATAAAAAAATACAAAATTACCAGGTAGCTGACCCATAGCTCATTCCAAACAAAAGTCCTAACTTTTTAAAAATCTATTTTTTATATTTCTTTCATTACAAGACTCCTCAACTTAGCGAAGCTGATTGCAACTTTTGCTTCCGCCTTGTTCATGGTGGAAAATCTGCCTAAGAAGCAGCGATATGGCTAAAATGCAGTGCTTGTATTGGTCTCGACTTATATAAAGATTTTAGCACTCTTGAAATGTCCAGGAGGGGTAAAGAATAGGACAGTCTCGAGTGACCGGCCATGATCAACTGAGGCAGATTTTGATGTCGCATCTGCGAAATCGTTTCGTTTCTCAAAAGTAGCAGCTCAAGGCATGCATGGAGTGCGGGAAAATGTTTATGTCATCAGTGTGAGGCGCAGAACAGTAAGTACAGGACTTAAATCAAGAACGCCTTATTAAAGACTGCAATTAACGAAGCCGCAACAACAGCGCCGTCTTCACAGTGCCAAACAGCACAAAGAAAAAATCAGAATCTCTCAGTCATCCAACACGACACTCCTGCCCTTACACTGCCCATTTAGAAAACAACACAGATTCTGGAAGATCATAACATGAATGTCATGGACTGGCCAGTGTACGTACTCGACATGGCTCCAACAGCGCATGTATGGGATGAACCGCAAAGTGTGTTCCGATTTGTGAATCTATAGCTATTGGAAGATTACGCTGCCGCGAAAGTGGGACAGAATTTCTCAACAAAACGTTGAAAATGTTATAAAATCCTTGCGAAGAAGTGTTTTGGTCTGTTTAGATGTTAATGATGGCCAAACAATTTGCTTGTAAAGTTACCTGGCGGTCCGATGCGTCGGGTCTGTCAGGGGGCCCCCGTCCAAGATAGGTGTTGCCTCGTCGTGGTCCTGAGTTCGACTGAATACCTCAGTTGACATCACATTTACTAAGGGTACAAGATCTTTATTGAGCTTCGATTTGTGTTTTTCTGCAAATTTGTTTTAAGGGGGTACGCCGAGAGAATGTATCGAAATCATTTATGTATGTATCAAAATAGTTCACATTTGTTTGAAATTGAATGAACTTAAAAAAACAAACTTCTTTTGATTTATATTCATTTGATACAGACGTGGTCAGACTATGTGAACGAAGTGTTGCGTTTTTAATGGCGTTCAGTATATATGGACGCAAGACGCAAACCAAAGCCCAGAAAGCCTAAATAAATTTCTGTTGGCAGACGACCAATGTCTTATTCATCATGACCAACAAACATGTGAGAAATTCAACATGAAAATAAGCACATCGAAAACAGAAGTTATGAAAGTGAGCCAAAACCATAGTCCCCTGAACATCCATGTCAATAGTAAACAACTGAAACAGGTGAAGAAGTTAAAATATCTTGGCAGCACTTTTGTTGAAAACGGGTCCAAAGACAGAGAAATAGAAATGCAAACACAAAAAGCCAACGCTGTCACCTACCAGCTCGCACCCCTCCTGTCTCATCCAAACATCTCCATGGACACAAAGAGACAGCTTATCACCTCAATATTCATACCAACATTATGTTATCAGTGCCAGACCTGGACAGAGGATAAAGAAGTAAAGTAAAAGTAAGTAAAGACATGTGAACTGCGCGCTAGTCACCATCTCATGTCACCCCCCAGAACAAAAAATTGTCCACAAGCCGAAAATAATACGTAGCGAATGAGTTAAAAGTAGGTGTGTACGACATCGTACAGCTTCATGTATTGTTTTTGTCATTGGTTGTAGACAGAAGCTAGTGTGCATACAGAATTAATGTATTTTCCTTCTGTGCACTATTCTCTTTTTCAGAAATGAATAAATTTCTTCGTATCAATTGAAGTTTTCGGGTCTCAAAGCAATATGCATTAGACTTCAAGTATGTGATGAATGCTTTGCTATTTTTGCTCCTTCTAGAGAAACACTTTTCTCCATTTTGTTTAAACTTAAAATGAGTAAGAGGACAAGGTTTGAAGAAGATTAATTATTCATTGTTAGTTGAAGAGCAGCGTGGTAAAATGTGTCTGTGGCAGTGTTCTTAGTGTCCTTACTAAGAAAGTTATTTGTACAATATGATTCCCCACAGTGGTCTGTGTGAGCCAGAGTGTGTGAACATTCTCTCTGGCCCTCTGAATGAGAAGGAAGTGTGTGTCCCAGACTGTGGAGGGACTACCCCCTGTGACCGTTTCCTGAGCAAAGTCAGTGTACAAGTCTACAATGCCTGGTGAGAAGTGAACCTTTGGTCTTGCAGCTCTCAAGTGACTGGGTAGAAAAAGACTGTGTCTTGTTGCTTTGAGGTGGTTTTGCATCCACTGATATTTTATTAATTTTTATTGAGATAACTGCTGTAAACAAAGACTTTTTCTGTTACCGTGATGTGCTGTTGTGAAAATAATTTCTTTTTCCTTTTTCCATGATGTGATTTTATTGTAATGTTATGTTTTCCTGCTACCTTGAGACGGTTTTGCTGTGTACCAATAATTTTGTCTTTGTTGCCAGGAAGCGGTGTTGCAGTGGACAGACATTGTTTGTATTGGTATGTGGAGTGTAAAGTGTGTGTTTTTCTTCCCGCAGGGAGCTGGCACAGCCATTGATGACATCAGGACATAACCGTAGCAGTGTTGATGTCCTTCTGGAACACTTTTATGACCTGACTCCACTTTACAAAATGTCCTACTCTGAGCCAGAATATGTAAGTAAAATAGCTGTGATGTGCATCTGGCTTTTTTGTTATTATAATATGTATAAACTATAGGGTATGACATAAAGTTTTGGAAGAATGGTTCTTTTAAGACACAGTTTGATGTTTATCGAATTTTATATTTTTGGCTCCATTTAAAAACATATTCCTGCAGGCATTTTACTGAAACAAATTGATGAAAGGAACAAAATATGTAAATTTTCAGTTTCCAGGGACACTCGAGCTTGGAAATCACCAAAGTTAAACAGCCATTTTCTCGCTAATTTTACCTCGGACAACAGACGGGGTCTCTCGTGGCCTAGAGGTTAAGGTGTTGGCCTCTCATTCAATAGGTCCCGAGTTCGAATCCTGATTTTCTTCTCTAAAATTTTCCCCTTTCACATCCTTTCCTGCTCTCTAACAATGTTCTGTCATCTGCTTTCGTTTTCATTTTCTGACCTCACCCCCTCACCTCCTCTGCGCCCTCCTCTGAGGTCCTGACTCTTTCTGCAGCCTTTCTACTGCTTCTCCTTGGCTCCTTCTTACTGCTGTCTTTCAGCCACACGCCTGATCTTATGGCAGGTAAGATCTACACCTAGCCTTCTCAGGCAAGGGCAAAAAGTCTCGGAGGTCCGGTGTGCAAGTTGCGCACTTTAAAGATCCCAATTGGTGGTCCAAGATCGACAAGAGTACGCTCCGGCCGCAACCCGAGCACAATTCAAAATTCCCTACCTATTGAAAATGTTTGGTGTGTCCCGTACGCTCACATGACCTTATGCAGTTGCGAGCGTCGTAAATCACTTGCCCAAAAAAAAGAAAAAAAAAAAAAAAAAGAGAACAGGCGAACCCCCACTTCCTTTAAGTGCAAATATCTCGACTTTTATTCAAGATAGATGGGTACTTAAAAAAAAATCAAACTCAAGGCAAATAGACGGGCTTTAACTCTTCATGTCCGGTGAGCTAGTGGGAGCGGCTCGGCGCGAAGTGGGTTTGGCCGGCGAGCCGCTGACAACGGCTCACTACACTAGCCTTCATTAAGTACACGCGAAAGTAATATTTCACGACATCAACCGAAATTATGGTCGCAAATGCCGAAAATAGGTCTTTTTCTGTCTGTACTTTCATTTTGTAGCGTTTGTGCAGGCGCGTAAGCTAGATTTGATGGCTTGTTTCCAAACAACTGATTTTCTGTGTCTAATTTGTTTGTGTTGGTTAGGGAGATTATCGTGGCTGGAGATTGCTCCTGAAATAAATATAGTGACAGTTTTCTTGTTTGGATTATACTGAGACAAAATTTTCATTCCATTTGGATATTCTAAATCTAGATCTAGATGTTGGATCTTGTTGAGGCTGTATTCAGGTTAGTTCATCGTAATATAGTAGGCCTATATCTATGTGAATGTGACTTATATGTGGTTATTGTAGACCTCATCTTACACCTGGAAACTTCAAAGAATTACTCAAAATTACTTTTGAAAATGTGCATAAAGACACAGTTGTCATAGTTAGGTATATTCGAACAAAACTATAAATGTAAGCCTTTGATTTATTGTATAACAAAGTGTGTATATATAGAAATCTTGATCTAGATCTAGCTGTGTTTACACTTTTCATGCCGAATGTGGGTTGTGATACATTTTTTAATTTTGGTGTATTTCAAAAGAATGGGCTTCAAAGTAGCTACAGCCACCATAGATGTAATCCTAGAATGTATATCAACATTTTTGCTTCTTTACTTTGGCTCTGTGTTCAAGTTTTATAAAGTTACACTCATTTTTGTGTGAACGGTGTTATGTAATATTCGAACATTTTTTTTTGCTAAAGGCCATTTACTTCAATAGTCTATTTTTATTCTTCAATAAAGGCATCTAAAATGAACACCAATAAATACAACTTTCATTTCTGAACACAAACATACCAAAAGTTTTGATGTGGGCCTAGCAGATTGAAAGTTTTATAGACTTTTGTAACCCACCCTACTGCTGTATAGGATCAGTCCCTGGGAGGCTTAGGTCAGAACGAAAATCCTCTACAGACGTGAAGAGTTAAGATAATACCAATAACTCCATCTGCTCAAAAACTGATGAGCGCCTGATTCCTCCACTTGTGTCAGGATGCGATGGAATCAGGCGCTCGTCAGTTTATGGGCATGTGGAGTTACTGGTATCACATTAAAGCTTGTTCGTTTGTCTTGCTTTCTATGAAAAAATGCCTATCTGTATTGAATAGAAGTCAAGATTTTGCCATTGAAGGAGGTTGGGGTGGCCTGGTTTCATAGGCATAGTTGGCGAGAAAATGGTCGCCAGAGTTTGTTGACTTCCATAGCTTGAGAGTACTTTTTGTGCCTTTCATCAACGTTTTTCAGTAATGTCCACCCTCAAATAGACGTAAAGGGTGTTGAGCGGGAAAAAAAAAAAAATCAGTAAAAATTGCCTAATTATGGTAAAAAAGCCGGTTTTGTGGATTTCCATATTTTTGACGAGCACCTGATTCCAACATAATGCCTCACATACGTGAGTTTCCGGTGGAAAGAAGAGGGAAGATGGATGATATTAAATGAAGAATCTGTTGTTTCCACATTGTAGTGTATGGATGTGTATCATATGATGTGCAGGTGCCGTTTACCTTTTAAAATGTTCATGGATGAAATGTTGTTTTTTTTCTTCTCCCACTCACAGGACGGATTTGACGTGCATTTTGAATTTCCCATCAAACCTGAGGTGACATTCGTTGGTAAGTTTCAGATGACTGTTGATGTTGGAATAGATGGCAGAAGAAAGTAATGTTAAGGTATTCCTCTTGAAGTTGATGAAGTGTTTGGCATATTGACTTTTCTGCTATAGTGGTCATCAGTATGATGCGATTGACAAAACCATTATGAATAGCGGGAAAGTGTGCATTGCTTTGTCTTCCAGACTGAATTCCTTTTGCTGTAGTCTGGATTTTTGGTGATCTTGAATTGGTCATTTAGAAAATATTGATGTTGTTCAGATTACATGTTTGTGAATGTTCTTGCAGTGAGGATTAACGTCACCTACTGTATGCAACCTTTCCAGGGATATGCATTTGAACTCATTAGCTGGAGGAAATTTGAAGAGGACATGAGAATAATTTTGTGGAAAATATTTCCTCTAAGCTGGTTGTCCTGTAAACAGGACCCTGTTACAGGGTCTTGGATTTAACCAACAGTGTGTCTTATTAGGGGTTGAGACTTTCGATTTTAAAAAGTTACTGTATCTCATAGTTGAATTGAGTGTTCATTTAAAAAGAAATTAGTATTGAATGTAGAGGTATAGAAGTGCCTAATGATGTATCCCTGACTTCTGGTGACAGACTACGAGGCGCGGCTGGTGTTCTTCAGTGTGGTCCTGGACAAACCTTTCAGTGATATCCGGTATCAGTGGAGTGACACAGCCATCAAACTTGGAGAAAGAATGGGCGAGCTGGTAGGTGAAACTTTGGATTGATTGAAGAATGTGTTAACCTGTGATAGAGCAGATACAATGAGTGATCCGAGAATGACTGAGGGATCTCGAGGTGCTAGATGAAGCTTTCATTTGGAAACAAAAAGGCCCAAGTAAAAGTTTTTGTTTTGAGAAAACATATTAGGGCAGTGGGGTTTTAGAAATATTCGGGAGGACTGGTGGGTGTGGAATAAAGATGTATAGTCTTAGGGGGTAAATGTTATTCTTGGCAATGTGATTTAAATCCCAGATAATGTCATCACTCGCCTAGTTAAAAAATATTTGTTCTTTGTTACAGGCTGCAGATCAATTTGGAGATTTGGGCTATCTTTATGGAAAACTAGATCAGATCAGGTAAGTTTTGGTACCCTTGTGGAGAATGTTTCCGGGGTGTACAATGCATTTGATTTTGGTTGAACAGGCAACACTGTAGCACTGCTTTTGAATCATAAGAAAGGTTATAAGGCTGTGTCCTTTGGGCTCAAAGGTTCGTCCACTTAGAATTGAGTACAGACCATACCCTATTTTAGTTTCCTTGACATGGCATTTGGCTAAGATCTTACTTCTAACACAAGTGGTTAGCCGTGGGGTGTTATGTGGAGACCAGTGTGCTTTCAATTTGACTTTCCCTTTGTTTCTGCGAGTCATGTGTCATTACATAAATATTGTAGTTTAAAATTCAGTGTTCATATTTTCAGCGTTTTACTTTGTGACTTTTTGCAGCGATCATTACGATGAAAACACTGGGGAGACTTACATCATGGTGAATTCTATGGGCGTATTTAAGAATTCCTTTAACAAGACTATGCTTGAAGCCGTGGCATCAAGAATGCTAAGAGCTCATATCTCCTGGGATGGCCAGTTTGGAGAATTCCTGTTCAGAGGCAGACTTGGCCTTTTCCGGACAGCAGAGGATCGACAGAGAGGAGTGCAAGGTGAGTGTTGTGGCAGTCCCCTTCTCATGTGAATACTGCCAGACTGTTGTTGTAGACACTAGTGGAATACTTATTTGTTTCCATGGTAATACTTCCTGGAATGCCAGTGAATGTGCCTGTTTAGAATATGGCTTAACTCTTGGGTATTTTTTCCAATAAAAGCAAGACAAATAAACAAGCTTGAAAATGATATCAACAACTCCATAATACGCTCAAACACTGAGGAGCACTTTATTCCACGACGCCGTGACAGATATGCTTGATTTCTTCCATCTCAAGCTTGCATTCTCTCTAGGTGTAATTATGAAAACATTTTTGTGTGTTGGGTAGAACTGTGGATGTTTTTAATGTTGTTGAAGTATCAATGCTTGTAACAAATTTTTATTTCTCAGCGGTCAGTTGGTGTGATGTCGTGGAGAGTGTGGGTGTGCCAGGTCATTGTGGGAAAGAGTTCACCTGTACAGAGAAGACCGTGTTCAGGAATTGTAGTGGAGGTTTGTGCTTTTCCCTTGTAGGTAGCCATGTTTTAAATGGTGGTGGAAGACTTGACAGCAGAAAGTGTCATTTAGAAAAGTGTCCCTTCAGCTTACCTGCACCATGCTTTGTTTTTATTGGGGATCAAAGCCAGGATACCTGATATGGGCAGTGCAATGAAAGTAGACTAATTAGCCTGAGTATGTAAGGGTGGAAAGGAGATACAGCTGATTATTTCATTTAAAGCAATGTTTCTTAAATCTCAGGTTTTAGAATAAGTTGCCAGGCAATTTTGTCCTATTTATGAGTGGTTGTAAATGTTTGACAGTGCCATTCACATAGGTTAGATGGTATACTGTGGTTGTATCCTTCGAGTGAGAGAGTGAAAATGTTCAAATATTGACTCCATGTGCTCGTTTTTTTTGTTGCATTAATCATGATTGTGTTTGAGATGTCCGAGAACTTTCATCTACTTTAATGATGTATGTTTTGTTCCTTCTCTTTCTCATCAGCTTGGAAAACCTCATGTGAGTATTGGGAGCTGACGTTACAAACTTGTTTGTCTTTAACTGTGGTGTGTATGTGCTAAGAATAAGCAGGATATCTTTTTTGTGATGACGTTTTGTCTATTCATTAACAGTGCTGCTCAAGATGTTCAATATCATCTGAAATACAAAAAAATGTAAACTCTCTTTTTGCGTATGTTATATTGCTATGGATGTCAAACAAAGATAATGAAAAATTGAATGAATGTGACATCATAGTATGTTGTTGCTCTTGGATGTCCCGACATGACCGGTGTTTTCCACCTTTGTTTCACAGTGTTCCTGAGGTTTGAGATAGACAAAGACTTTGATGCCAGTGACAGCTGGGCTGTAGAGGTGGCTGTGAGAGCCAACATTTCGGAGCATCTTGTATCTTTGTACTCGGAGTACCACGTTGCGGTCGTCCATGTGCTGTAAGTCTATAAATATAGATGGATCCAAATGTTTGAGGGAATGAAATGGAGAGACCTGGACTTTACCTTACTTTTGTGTGTATAATGTGAGCACAGTAATGAGAAGCATGAATGTCGGAGGGCACTTTGAAAAGATAGAGAGCAAGAAAAAGTGCAAGAAGAAGATTGAAGCAGGAGATGAGAGACTGGGTGAGGAAAGGGAGGAGACTGGAAGATACAGAAGATTCTCGGCACATTGAGGAGTTAAGAGACTCTCTGAGAATCTAGACTGGAGTTTGTTTTGTTGCGTAATTTTGCTAAGTGAGGTGGTACGTTCCTTTCTTATATCAAATAATGATCTCCAGTATGTTTGTTTTGAGAGAGTATCACTTCCTCTGGAGAATTTTTGGTAAGAACAAAGTGGGAATGGTAATATCAAGGTGTTGGGTGTAGGTGTGAAGGTGTGCTGGGTGTATATTTTGCTAATTGACATTTGTGTAAATGAAGGAGAGTTGATGAAAAAAAATAGGCTGCTTCTGTTTTGCTGTTCATGTTTTCCAAATATTGAAGAACATTGTTGTGAGCATGACACGCACTTTGTTTGTGATTGGCTTCCTACAGACCAGGGAGCACTGTGGTCATCATTCGGGTGGATACAGACTCTGACTGGGTGCAGCATCTGCTAGAGAAATACATCTACAAGTTGTTCCTGGAGCAGCCAGGTTCTATCTCAGTAGATGACACAGTGTACTCGGTTGTGTCTGTGAAGATGTATGAAGATGAAAACGATGCCGTGATGGACCAGGGAGCATTGAGTAAGTACCTAGGTTACTGATGAGGCTGGAAAGAAATGGGCTTGTTATGAACATAGCTTGGATTGAATCAAAACTATTGTGAAGACAAATATTATAGAATGGACTGAAATGAAACTTTTGGGTAGTTAGAGAGTGAGATTTTGTCCTGTTTTGTATCCTCAGCCCACAGAGCCAGTAGTTTGGCATGTAAGGCCTTTTTCCATGCTAATAAGTCTGTTGTGTTGTCCTTTAGACAGGTGAAAGACAAAGAGATTTCATCTTGTGGTTTTAGAAATTACAATGATGAATTTGTGTTTTGCTGAGGTTTTCCAGGCTCATCCTTGATGGTAATTGTATGAGTAGCAAATGAAAATGTTGACAATTTATGTTGCACAGAGTAACTGTCAACTATCTTTCCGTTCCAGAACTACACAATGTATGCTACTGGGGTTATGAATGTCCAGAAGGTTCCAAGTGTGTGGCTACTGACTCTCATCCCATATGTGAAGGTAAAAGAGGAATAGAAAAGAGTAAACCTGTTACCTCATTTGTTCTTTGATCCGTTGTTCCGTTCATCCCTTGATCCATGTCAGCGCATGTATCGACAAAGTGTTGTTATCTGAACGTACCATTAGTATGTATTTCTGTCCTTTTTATGTCCCCTTACTCAAATGACGCGTCTCTCCCTTCATTTGCTAATTTTCAGTTCTTGTCTTTTCCATCTTACTTCTTCCCATGTTTTGTTATATATGGGATATGTGGTGAAAAAATGATTGAAGAGAAATGGCTTACTTGTCCCTTGATTTGTCGGATAAAAGAAGTCAATTTGTACCCCAATATTGATGAAACATGGATTTTTCCATGTCTCCCCCCCCCCCCTCCACAAGAAAAAAAAGCACCAAAAAAACCATGAAAAGTGAAATGTGTGTGGATGTGCCATAAATATAGGAGGAAGCTATGACTTTGCTAAATGCCTGTTTCCTCAGTGCCATGTGACTATGGAGAGTTCCGTGAGAGGGATGCAGGCTGTGATATGTGTCCTAACGGAACCACAACACTGGTACCAGAAGCAGTATCTCAACACATGTGTGTCCGTAAGTGGAAATTTTTGCTACTTATGCTTCTATGTGCTCTTGTCTCATAGTTTGTTTTTTTCCTGGCCAGAAGGTAGAATAGTAGAAATGTTCTGTTACTCTTTACACAGGAATCCAGAAGGACATGTTACTTTTTGCTCTGCAGGGCTGGATGGAATGATTAGTGCTGGTTCAGACTCAACTGCCAGATACATGTACATCTATTTATACTTCTATATTCTCCCATCTACTAGTTAGGTTTTTATTGGCAGTATGGGAAAATAGTACAAATGTGTCATGACGTGATGGAATCAGACGCTCTCCAATTTTTGGGCATATCAAGTTATTGGTATCAACTTATCATTTGTTCATTTGTCTTGTTTTCCATGAAAAGAATTTCCTATCAGTCTTCAATAGAAGTCAAGATACTTTGGATTGAATGAGGTGGGGATAATCTGGTTTCTGAGGTAAAATTTGGGAGAAAATGACCGCCAAAGTTTGGTGACTTACTTAGTTTGAGAGTCTTTGGAAACTGAAAATTTACATTTCTTATACCCTTAATCAATTTTTTTTATTAAAAGCCAAACTGTCGGAAAAATGCCGGTATTTTCAATTAAGTTATTTTGGCAAACACCTGAATACAATGCCTCAATATTGTGAATTTGCTCCTGATATAGAAAGCCAGAAGGACATTTTTTACTTTGCAGGATTGGATGGAATCATACATGCTATTAGGAAGAAGAGGCATGGATAAGTTCTCATTGTTTTCATGTCATGTGTCCTCAGGCAACTGTTCATCAGGCCAGGTGTTGAGTTTGGAAACTTTAGAGTGTCAAGTCTGCCCAGATGGTTTCTACCCAGACTCTGTTCCTCCTGTGTGCTATGTCAATTCCAGTAAGTTCCAAGGCAGTTAATGTTTTCTGAGACTAGGGGAATAGACAAAGTAGCCATGACAGTTATTTTGAACTTGTGTTCCTGTCTTTGGGATTGCATGGATAGCATTCCTCCCCATAGTGCAAGTGTAGAGCTGGCTTTATTTCTTCCTCTTACTTCTATAGTTCAATCGAACCTTTTGTCTTATGTAAGAAAGTGGTTTTCTTTGTTTCTGAAATCTGCTTTTGACAATAGAATAGGTTATATGTGTGAAAGATTCCGATGAAATTTTTGGTTGAACTTGATTGATGGCTGAATGCGCTTTCCTTGCTCTGACAGCGCTACCTGTTGAGAATCGCAGGATGGACATCCACATGACAGTAACACTTGTGACCAACAGATGTGATGAAGAAAACACAAACTTCAGCAAAGCCAATGTCACTCTTGGGCTCAAGGATATTGCGAGAGGAGTGATCTTTGCAAGATTTTACAAGGCATACGATTTGTCAAGAACTATATACTTGTGAGTTTGCAGGGGTTTTTTTATGCAAAGATATTCTTTTTGTTTTGTTTTATTTTGACAAATTTAATGTGGTGTGTTAAAAGTAGGTGTGCACAACATCGTACAGCTTCATGTATTGTTTTTGTCATTAGCTGCAGACAAAACTAGTATGCTCTCAGAATTAACTCATTGATGACGTCCCGGGTCCCGGGACCCGGCGAGGTCAACAAACTCTGAAGATGCGCCGGGTCGCGGGACCTGACAACTTGTACCATTTTTTTTTTGCACCTAAAAGCTAATAGAATCTCAAGGGGAATGACTCCCAGTGTTAGGTAAACCATTTAACTTTATTGTGATTGTATCCCTTTGATCTGCCAAATCCCGCTGACCTGACCTACTTTTTACGTAAACAAGAAACAGCAGAGCTGCTGGATGCTCCTTTCACTACCAATGAAGCGATAGGGATTATTGATTCAGGAGACTATATATCGTCGGCTTTGTGATAAAACCAACTAACCCCAGCGAGGTAAATTTTACAGGAGAAGGAAAAAACTGTTTTATTTCAAAACAAAGGCGTCTAACGATAAATCAATGCTTTAAACACCTATAAAAACACTTTACCGAAAATCTGTAGACCTTTTTTTCCTTTAAAAATTGCTTTTAATGAAACTGTGTGGGTTAGACGGTTATGTCGCTAAAATTTTCCTGGATAAAACCGACCAACCCTCAATTTTGTGGGTTGGCCGGTTTTATCAGGAAGCCACTGCTGGCCTTGAGTTTGGTTGAGTGCAGCCAAGCCACACTTGACGGTAACGTAATTGATCACTTGCTTCAATCGTCAAGATCATTTGTAGAAGAAGAAGAAGAAGAAGAAGAAGAAGAAGAAGAAGAAGAAGAAGAAGAAGAAGAAGAAGAAGAAGAAAAAGAAAAAGAAAAAGAAGAAGAAGAAGAAGAAAAAGAAGAAGAAGAAGAAGAAGAAGAAGAAGAAGAAGAAGAAGAAGAAGAAAAGAAAAAGAAGAAGAAGCAGAAGAAAAAGGAAGAAGAAGGAGGAGGAGGAGGAGGAGGAGGAGGAGGAGGAGGAGGAGGAGGAGGAGGAGGAGGAGGAGGAGGAGGAGGAGGAGGAGGAGGAGGAGGAGGAGGAGGAGGAGGAGGAGGAGGAAGAGGAGGAGGAAGAGGATGAGAAGGGGATGATAAGGAGAAAAAAGATGGAAGAGGAGGAGTAAGAAGAAGAAGAAGAAGAAGGAAGAGGAGGAGGACTATATTATTGCTACCAACATACTATCAGTTGCTGCCATTTCAGTGCTACGGAGTCAATTCGGGCAAAAACAGCAGTCACAAAGTTGAACCTTTAATAGAAGTAGAAGAAGCAGAACACAGCAATGGGTATATTAATTACATTTAAAGTAGAAGAACAGGAGGTTGGAAGGGTAAGGGAGAGCAGCTACAGCAACAACTACAAAAACAACAGTAGTAGCAGCAGCAGCAGTAGGCTTTTAGAATTTATGATCGTGTCTGACACGGTATTATTGGCACTGGGTGGCCATTCAAAGGCCTGGAAAAAAGTAATACTAAGAAAGAAATGAAAGCAGACAGCCACACGAAAGCTCTGCTACCTCAGCAATGGTTTGGGTGAATATTATTATTATTATACAAAAGGACTTTGTGAGTACCAAAGAATGCGCCAACTTTCTTCAAGGTGCGTGGCTTGACAACTACTACTTTATTGAGTTTTCTCGACAATAGAAGAGCATGTCTGTCTAACTCTGTGTCCTATGGCTACAACAAGGCAATACGAGAAAAGTTACCATTGTTTTGAAAGACTCTACAATAATCGAATTTGGCTTGATCGCTTTCAAAACTTCTTACTGAGGCAAAGTTTCATGGTAATTGTGGTAGCATCGTGGTACGACGGCCTCCAACTCCAGTAGATGTTTATACTGGTTGGCAGTTATCTTCAATCTGTCTTTGCAGAGAGGTCCAGCAGTAACCGTCGTACACATGGTGTTCAGCTTTCTTGGTCCTTGCAGCGCCTTCCATCCATCATCAAAGTTCAGATTATACTGAATTTTAAAGACTGGAGTGTACTTTGATGCCTGCAAGTCAGTGACAGTAGAATCGCCTGCTTTTCTCCCTGGACGGATTGTTTAGTGCTCTCCGACCTTTGCGAAATCTTTGAAAAAGCTGTGGTCCAGGTACATAACTTCATAGGGCCTGGGGATGCGTCAGGCTTTGAGCATGATGTTCACGTAGTCCATTGGGATGTACATCAGTGCCTTTTTTAGCGATCAGTCAATAGTGCCATGGACTGAATCCACTTCCATTTGGGTATGGCCCTTGGGGAGAATTTCTGCTCAACTGTGATGTCAAGCTCTTTGACCAGCGAGGCCATTGCACTCACCAGGGTGGCTTTCTGTTTTAGTAGTTGCGCCAATCTCTGCAGATGATGAGGTGGTTGAAGTCAGTCACTTGCAATATCAGTTAGTGAGTCAGACATGATGAAAACTGTTGAAGCCCAGACCAACTTCACTTTCATACCAGACATATCATCTGGCGTCTCTGGTGGCAAGATCCTAAATCGTAAGATTGTGTACAGCCAGTTTTGTTTTATAATATAAGGTGGAAGTCTTTAGGGATGGGGCCAGAAGGACGCACTGGATCTCCAGACAAAGGACACACACAGCCTCCCTGTCCGTCTCCTTCTCTGATCTAGCTGCAGCTTTCCTCATATTCATATTTGAGCTGTGTGTTATGTTTCTGTGGGGTTTCCAGATTTGAACTTTGTACAAATGTCGCACTGGTCTTTCTTGGTTGAAAGTAAACCCACATTGTTTTTCTTGAACTTTTGGCAGAACACTTGATAGCTCAATGGGGCTTTCACCCTCTCTGCAAAGTTCTCCATGTATACTTGATGCAGATCTGACGTTTTCTGGATTGTCATCTGTAGACAGGAGGATATCTTCAAAAGTTTGTAAAAAAATTCCTCTTTATGGAACAACTTGTCATCCTTGGCCCTCTCATGGTGGGCGTGATGTCTTCTGGGGGGGGGGGGGGGGGGGGGGGCTCTTGTTTGTTTGTTTTTTCGGAGAAGACACTTTAAATAAACCAGTGGGTCAGGCCTGTGGTTTTCTTGAAGATTGTTTTACAAACAGGTGTTCTTTGACCATTGACTCTTGTAAGTGGTATTGAAGGCTGTAATTTCTCCTTGGGTTTTCCCTTGCTGTATAAGATCTCTTTTTGTCTATCCTGTTTATCAGAAAGCGTTAAACGCTTTGAAAATTCTATCAAATCCGGAGTGGGGCGGGGACTCAAAACACCTTCTCCACTTGTACATCTCCCTTGTCCGGTCCAGGCTTGACTACGGCTGTCAAGTCTACGGATCGGCAAAACCACACGTCTTAAAAATACTAGATCCAATACAAAACCAAGGACTCCGCCTCGCTCTAGGGGCTTTCCGCACTTCTCCGGTGGAGAGCCTCCAGGCCGAGGCCAACATACCACCACTCTCACTCAGACGCACACAACTCTCACTACAATACGCAGTTAAACAGAGCTCAACACCGGAAAATCCAGCGCACAACAGCATTTTTCAAACAAATCCAGAAACCAGAAACAAATTCCAAAACAACGAAAAACTCATCAAACCTTTCGGCCTCAGAATCCTTGAGGACCTCAAAAACTTACACTTTTCCAAACAAGACATCCAACAAATTCTTTTCCCCGACCTCCCTCCGTGGCACCTCACCAAGGCAAAAGTAGATTTACAGCTGACCACACACAACAAAGAAAGCACAAATACCAAAACTTTTCAAGCAGAATACAAAAAACTAATAGATAAATACCCCGGTGCAGAGCTCATCTTCACGGATGGCTCCAAAAAAGACAATGAAGTGGGCGCCGCAGCCCTATCTCCCAACAATACACACCAGAGGAGACTCCATCGTGAAGCCTCCATTTTCACTGCGGAGGCCACTGCCATTGACATGGCACTGGACTCTGTAGAAAATTCTCCTAACAAATTATTTTTTTAAAAATGTTTTTCAATATCGGAGGTTACGATCCAAATGTACAAATATTATGGAATATATGTAAATAACTGCTCATTTTTCCATATTCTCCTGTTC